AGTAGTGGAGGTGGTACTGGAAGATTGACACGACCCACGAACTTGCCCACTGAACATCGCCGAGTTCATCGTCATCCTCAAATCATTCCTGGTAAGTAGAAAATCATTACCTTTTTTTTTTTTTTTTTGGTGTATATTGTATATTTTAAAAATAACATTGTAACTTATTTTTCTAGAGGCTCATGATTTTTACAGAACAAGTTTTTCCATCAACAGCTCAGTCATTCCCCACACCAATGGAGGAACCAAAGAAGGTCATGCGCGTAGAGTACGTTGGCATGCTTCAAGTTGAAAAACCCTCAGGCATGGAAGTCATCAACACTGCAATTGACAGAGTAGCTGAAGAAAATCCAAGACCTTGGAAGCAAGTATCAGTGGCTGTTGCTCCTTCCACTGTTACTGTCACAAATACAGTAAGTATCCGTTGCAGGTTGAGTGTCATCTGATCAAAGATAGACTGTTTAGACATTTTTATCTTTAGTAGTTTGTGTTATTAGCAAATTAACATTTGGTGTTCTCAACAGGATGATGGCAAGCAAATAGCCGAGTGCAGAGTTCGATACCTGTCCTTCTTGGGTATTGGTCGTGACGTCAGGCATTGTGCCTTCATCATGCACACGGCCCAGGACCAATTTATTGCCTATGTGTTTTATTGTGAGCCATCCACTGGAGCACTCTGCAAGACCATTGAGGCTGCATGCAAGGTGAGGAACTGAAAATACTCTATGTAGGTAGCTGTATCTGCAGCTCTCAATCAGCTGTTAATTTATAATGTATAATGTCTATATAACTATGAATTTGAAATTTGAATTAATGGAGTTAATTATTAATAACTAGTTCAGTAGTTTACACCATACACATCAATATTTTGTACCATAGTTTTAAACAATACAATTAATTAATTATGCTTAGAATGGTATATACAGTACATTAGCATATAAATGAAACTGAACCTGTAACAGTCTCATCTTTGTACATGTCTTGAATCCCTGGTTAAAGACACTCATTTTTGAAGATTATGTTGAGCTGAAGTACCAATTAGGTGTTCATCTCTCAACTCCTCCTTATTTAACTCTTCCATAATTCTCCACAGCTGAGATACCAGAAGTGTTTGGATGCCCACCCAGGCGTGAGTCGTGGCAGGGGAGCAGGAACCCCCCGCAGCATCTCCTCCACCCTGCGCTCCATGTTTGGTTCCATCACTGGACGGAAGGCTCGGTCAGCAGAGTCTTGAGATGAGGACTCACCTCTGCAGGTAATCACTTCACACATGTCAAGACTTCAGTGATGTAGAGTGACATGCCTTGTGAAGAGACATAGGACTTGGCATAAGATAACAGTTCATTTAACAGTGATACTTTCAAGTTACGTGTGTGTGTGTGTGTTGGAGAGTTATTTCTCATACTGCAAACCCTGCATAGTGCTGAGGACAGTATGTATGACAGTGGTTTTTAAATTATTTTATTTGATTTAATCCTAATAAAAGAGTGAGCAGCCTAAAGATAACCAAATTGGAATTGGAAGTTTTACAGACTTTTGTTAAGCACATATAATTTTGTTGTGCACTTAGCCATTCTGGTTTTGTACTTTATGTCTTCTATCAATGTAGATTTTTAGGAATTGATTTTATGCACTGTGTTACCAATTGGTAGAGTTTGTTAGTTGTATGTATTGTTGCCACTTTAAAGAATGAATATCAAGTAGAATATCTGAAGAAGATAATGTTACATGAATGGCATGAATCTAGATCTATATGTATATTGAGGTTGTACTTAAATGACATTAAAAAAAGATGACAAAAAAACAAAAGATTTAGGGGCTAATGGAAGTCAAACTTTTCCCCCTCAGATGCGCCAGTTCTCATTGCAATTTTAATGTAAGTTTCATGCAGTGAAATGGAAGCATTTGAAAGCCATGCAAAAATTGACTGGTCAGCAGTACTGTTGTCATTTTGCAGCTATGACATGAGCATCAAAGCTTGATTTTAACTTTATAGATTTGTGCTATGACAGATTCACTGATCTTGTTCCAAAGCAAAGAGAATTCTGCTGTATTTAGGAGTCCACTGTGTGCTTTATTCACATTTTTAGCACATGGCAGTTTAAGGATGTATTGCTGTTAATTGTTCAAGCGATTGAAGACAGTTCTTTGTGAAAATACCTTACAATGAAACATGTTAGAAATACCATATGTGATCATTAGTGAATTTAATGAGATCTAGATTTGTAATACAATGTTGTAGTTTCTGAGAGTAAGTTGATATATAAATATTTATTTCCTAATGGCTGAAGCTAACTCTTGTTGACTTCAACCAGAATGAATATTCCTTTAGTACAGTACACCTTAATGTATTGCACTGATTTTAGATGAGAGCAATATGGAATATGATTGCTATTAATGACGATTTTTCAAAAATTTTATGGTGTACTTACAATTCCTATCACTGAAAAGGTATTTCAAAAGTGTTATTCAGCGCATGGTGTTTCTGACCTGTAGAAAGAGAAGCCTGTGTGATATCTTCCAAGATCATAGATTCTCTCATACATAAACATCAAGAATTCCATTCTCAGTTTGAAAAACACATCTTAGAAGTACCTGTGTATGGTGTATTTTGGATAATTTTGTATATGTGAAAATATAATTGAAATTGTTTTTATAACTGGTCAGACTGCCTATCTTAGAGGAAACCAAAAGCAAAAAATTTCAAACAAGCTTGTAGAGTTTGATTTTTATGCTCAGCAGTTTTATTTGAGTTTCTTTTTACACTTGATGCTCTGCCTTTTTGGGCTACAAAGTGTATGTGCATCCTTTTAGTGCCTGTCTGTCAGGCCTTCTTTGCCAGGCATGCGAAGGAGGCAATTTGCACGATCTGTAAGTTCTAACTTTAGTGTAAAAAGTGGCTTTTCAATGAATATCACCTATTATACATATCTTAAATTTAATGCGGAGATTAACTTGCAAAATTACAGGATGAGATAAGAACGTGGAAGCAAAAAGAAATTGGTTAAATGGAAGACTATATTATTTATTTGTCTGGAGAATTGGGTACAGTGAAAGCTCTTTATAATGCTTTAGAGGCAAAATCCTTTTCCAGATTTAGCACCATGAGGTGGTGTGAATATGGTTGTTGTTTTTTTATTTTATTTTTCTACTGATGAAAGAATTTAAAGATTTTTGGTGTAGTTTTCATTTAGGATTTACATCATTTGCAGTAAGGAATTACCAGATATTGTACAACTGTGTACATTCTTGATCATATGGGATGAGAGGACTATAAAGTTGTCCTGTTATAGATATTCCTGTATCTTATGTCAAGGAATGTTGTTAGGTCTTGTAGTATTATCAGTTCCTTTCATATAGTTACTGATAATCACCTGCTATTTCTGTATATAATTGAATGCAGATTATGCTGTTGAAATTGGGTTCATAAAGAGGTTTTGCTGTATCTTTTTAATCTGGAATAAAGTGCTAACACTTGTTTACTCATCACTTCACTCCTCTGGAGAGGAAGTGATGTGGTTCATTAACTACAATAACAAGTTATAGTAGGTGATGTAGATGTACACTTATAATGGCAAGGCTGTGTATTACATGTACTGTATGTTATGTAGAATTGTATTGTACATGTTATTTCTAGCTGTTTTTGGTTGTGTAGAAATTCTAGCTGGACTTGATAATGGGTTCTGTGTGCGTGTGTGTTTAATGGTGAAGGAATTTCTGACTTTCCTCTTCCTAATGATATTGGGCGATATACAGATTTTGAATAATCTTATTTTCTTATATGATTAGTACATTTGACTCAGGGTGTATCTCCTAATCACATGGGAAGATTCTTTCAACATTCTCTAATAAGGTTGGTTTGAATATTAACATATATACATATATATGTGTGTAGTAAAGATATCACTACTGCTCTCATTACTAATAGTTAGTAACTGAAATCCTCATAACCCACTACTTACTCCTTCTTACTAACACCAACTAACCTGACAGGACTTCTGGGCCCAGCCTGCAGAGCGTGAGGTCATCCCGCACCGCCACCTGACCAGCCCTGGTGGAGGCTCCACTTCCCCGACTGTGTCAGGGTGTCCCTTTTCCTCACGACAGGTGCAGGCATTGGTCTCTCCCACGTGTGAATCTCCCCACTCCTTTTCCACTCTCCATCGCTCTCCAACCACTCAAGCCCTCATGAAGGTTCCTCCCACACCAGCCACGCCCATGTCCCCCATGGATGCCCTCCGTCGCCTCCAACTCCCTCCAGATCTCTCTCCTCAGGAAGAGGATTTAGAGGGTGGAGTTGACCTGGAGGAGGGAGTAGGGGATGAGGAAGATGATGGCGTAGAGGAACTAGGAAGTACCTAAACTGATCAATGAAATATGCAGTTTTCTGCTTCAGAAGTGAAGTGCCATTCAGCCAACATGGTTAACTGCTACAGTCCTAATAGTTTAAAAACAAACAGCTGTACTGATATGCTTGATGAGTTGGTATCAGAAGCAGCAGCATGAATTCATTTCAATAAATCATTTACAAAGTAAAATGATCTAGAGAGCAACCTAAATCATATATCCTAATATGCCCTCCATACAGCCATGCACAATATGGCATCTTTTATTTTTTGACTTCAGTAGAAATGGTAGACTCCTTTAAGCTGATAATTGCATCATATTTCCTGACTTCCTAAGTTCCTCTCTAGTCACCCGCCACTTTCCTACAGATTGACATATAATTTTGTCACAAGTGATATATTGTAGACAAGAATGGAAAGCTCTATCATAGACATAGAAAATGGAGATGGTTTGGATTTTACTATAAGGGGATTCCTATTAATCCAAGTAATGTGGGCGTGTGGCTTGGTGTTTGGATCTGGTTTGGTGTACGCACGTTCAGCAGGGCCCAGATTGGCTGGTTGTGTGTAGACTACCTTGCATCACAAATCTTCTGCACGTACTCAGTATGGTTGAGTTTATAAACGTAAGAATATCTTAAGAACTCATTCTGGCCACTCTTTAGCAAGCTCTAAGTGGGCATAACACGAGGAATTCTTGGAATTCTTACTTTATGAAGACAGCCTCCGCTTCTCGGTACTCCCGTGGAAGAGATCATCAGCAGGGGATCAAGTTGTGCCTCTGCTTGCGTAGAAATTTTGCTAACCACTAACACATTGATGTACATTTGTGAATGTTTTATGTGGCCTAGTGCAACTGTATCTCTTTCTCTGCTTTATCAATTATTGTCACAGGAACATGCTATTTGTTGGATGTTGACTGATCTGTGTTTGGCAAATGTTGCTGAGCTTAATTATTTTTACCTTTTTACAGTGATTGATTATAGTGGTTATATATATATATATTAGATGACTCAACAGAAGTTCATGAATATTCTGTAATATGGTGAAAAGAGTTATGCTTAGAACCTAAACTAATCCAACACTGTCAAGTTAAGATCACAGTATAGCAATCAGAACAACTAGCTAAGTATGTTTTGTGAAACATAACTTTAACCTCACTGTCAGCTGTGTTGTATATATAAGCATACACACACACATATATATGTGTATATGTATATGTATATATATAATGTATGTATGTATGCATGTATGTATGTATGTATATATGTACAGACACACTTTCTTTTCTTTTCTTTTAATTTATCTTGTGTGTGACAAGATTCTTGGTCATTCAATCTCTCAGCTTTGTTCAAAACAATTACTGTACCTCTTCAGCTGAACTCATATAGGCTACTTCTACTCTTGTTGACTGTGAGTGAATGTTTTCTTGTTACCGCATATAGCCAAGTAACTAGTCGTTAACATAATGTACTTATGAGTGCTTGACTGGAGAAACTTTACATACTTAGGGATATAAATCAGTGAGCACAAGGAGCTTAGTCAGCTTGCAAGATCTCCAGGTCTGCATGGATATAAAAGGGCAGCCATAAGTAACTGTAGGTCAGATTAGACACCATTGATTGGGAATAGTATTATTCCCACTCTTTTTTCTTTTGCTTGTAGCTCCCATCTGTAGCATATAATACCATATTTCCTTGTGCCCATTGTGAATAACACATACATAAAGCCTTAGGTGTAAAATAGAACCTATGTATTTGTAGTGTTCACTTTGGTCAGTCACCTGAGCCTCCTAAACTGACCCACAGAGGGCACATATTCCACCAAAGTCAGTTGATCATTGTTATTTTTATTTTATTTATATATTTTTCATAGGAAGCATCTCATCAGATCGTGAAAGCTACTTGAATTTCTGCCATCTTTCTTTTCTTAGTATTTTTTATTTAAATAATATAAATAACTAATATATATATATATAGTATGACAATTTGCAATGCTAGAATTTTAAGGCATGAAAACATGGTGTGTTGAGATAGCTTCTTGACAATTTAATGTGAAAAAACTTAGGTTGGGTCACTGTAGGAGAAGTCCACACAGCACAGTAACATACATGTAGCCACATCAGCAACTATGGATCTTAACAAATATGCCAGTAACTATTTATAGTTAAGTAAAGAATGTCTCTTTTAATTTAGTACTACTGTGTACTTACTTCTTTAATAATTAGATTGTTTTGAATTAGCATCACATTGTTTGTGGCATTTGTGTAAATTGTGAAATAACCATTCATTTTTATTTCTTATTTCCTTACATTTTGCAAAATTATTACCAGTATGTCATGGAGAACTGTATGTAGGAATTCCAGGATGTTGAATACGAGATAAATATTTACGGCATGTTTCAAGTTCTGAATGTAGTGTAGATCAAATCCATGAATGTAAAATGCATTCCAAGGACAAAGTTCCGGAGAAAGAATAGAACTTTCCTTATTGAGACCTATCGTTGCTGGTTATGTTACGATCATTGCCATAGTTACCAGCATGTGGTAAATTACCCATGATTTGTGTAAAAGTTTATGATTGCTGGTGTATACTGGAACAGTTGAAACTTGTCAGAAAAAAATCTGAATTTTGCAGAACCAGTTAGTGCTTTTTTATTTTAACTGACAGAACTGTATAAAGTAAGGTTAAATATACAGGTATACTGGTAGATTTTATGATTTTATCTCTTGAAAAGGTAGAATGGTTCTTGCATTGGTTTAGATAATGCCATACATACATTCCATTGAGGTAGTATATTGATTTGAGGGAGGAATATTGTTAAAGCCAAGGCCATTTGTAGTGGCCATTCTAGATTGAATAACAGTAGATTGTAAGGCTCATAATTGTTTATTAATGTTCATGTCCAGTCATTGTGAGAGACCAAGGAACTGTCATTCCCAGTTTCATGGTATACCTTAAGTAATTAAGATGACTGAAGCAACCATTTGCATTATTTCTGAAATTTTTTAGTTCAAATGCCTCTTGAGATGTAATACTTTATGGGTGAATTTTTGTGTATTTTTGTATTTCAGTTACACATGTATGTACAACTCCTCTGGCAAGTCATGTATTTAAGTGCCTGTCTATTTGCATTGCAGGCGCTTACACAAACTTTATCAATGTTGATACCCAGGTGTGAGCAAAATACATTATTACATAGAATAAATTGTATTTTCATTTATATATGAGCCCTCAGCTGCATGTTATCTAAGTGGAGGGGGGTGGAGAAAAGAAAGAATGAAAGAAAAAAAGGCCTACTGTTCCTCCTTTTCTTTTCAATGAATACTCATCCACCCTGAAATCCCTCTATTCTGATTACCTCTACATTCAAAGTATTTACTGATACTCATCCTCCTCCCCCTCAAGTTCCTCATACCACTCTTTCCCAACACACCCCATCCTCTCCTCCTCCATGTGCAACATTCCCTTTTCATTTCACATTATTCTTATCTCTTCCACCTGGATACTCACATGTATCCTTTTTGTCACAACAGTGTCCTTCTCTGATTACCTCTCCTTCTGAACCTCTTCCTGATACTTCACCTCCTTCCCCAGATACCCTTATCTCATCCCCCAGATTCTTCTCCAACAGCTATCTCTACCTGCATTACCCACTAATTACCTCATAGCAGCTCTTTTACTAGTTTTCCTTAAATAATGTTTCTATAGCTTCCCCAGCAACAGATATACTCCATTTCATCTAATTGCCCTATGCCCCTAACCCTTTCCTTTACTAATCTCTGATTTACTTTATTTACACCCCCTCTTTACCCTTTTCCAGATCATACTATCCTGTAACACACTAACATTTAACACTTTATCCTAATTGTTAATTAATTTTTACTTTTTTCACCTCAATACTTCACCATAGTGCTATATGACCGTAGATGTCAAGCACATTTATTTGTTGTAACCATTAACCACTCTCAATGAATAGACATTGAAAGTTTAAATATTATGGAAATCACTCTTGACCGCTTTTTAATACTCAAAACCTTCAATTAATAATATTTCTTGTACTATCTTTGCCTGCTATCATTAACTCTTTGGATCTAGACGTGACTGTAATATCAGGAAAAAAAAATAGACAAAAGGCCAGGTGACAGGAACATGCCCTCACAAAAATTAAGCTGAAGGCCAGGGCTATGGGAATAACTCGCACCACAGCTCTTGGAAGATGATTACTGAATGAGCCTTTAGGAAGGGGATCTTGCATTATTCCCAAAGGTAAACAAGAGTGGAATGTACCACCCAGAAGCCATGGCTGGAAGAGCATAGGGCACTATTTCCATGCTCAGGATCCAATTCCTGCCTGCTGTGATTGGGATGCAGGGTGTGTTACAGAAAATTTAATACAAACATTTAATAATAACGTAAATAACAAAAATGTTTATGAAGAAAAATGCACACCTACAAAAATAAAACATTGCAACGGGGAGGTAAGGAGTCTTCATACCATGTACAAATGTTCATGGACTACAAACCATACACCCAGGAGAGAATTAAACATTGCACACCTACAAAAATAAAACATTGCAACGGGGAGGTAATGAGAGGATTTTCGGACATGTGTGAGTGGTGAGTCACTGTTTTTCTTTGAAATTTTAGCAATTTCTGGATACATAATAAATCTCAGAGTATTTGTCCTACATTACTGGTAAAGAGATGCATGAAATGTAAACAAAATATATATCCAATTAGTGACAATGGTTCCCAGAGCGAGAACTGCATCTTAAAAGTTGTCAGTAATCTTGAGATTATATATAAAAGTACTTTATTTATATAATTTTCACAGAAAGAAAAATATACACATGTAATGGAAATTCATATTAATGAATTTGATCTCACAGATTTTAAATAAGATCATTTTGTTTAAATTTCACAAGTATTTTTACCTGGATATAGTAAAGGTTAGTAATTTCTTTTTGGATATAGTAAAGCACTCAGGAATTCATTATTATTCTTTTGTTAGTCTTTACATTACCTTTTAATTTTAGATTTAGTCAGTGCTCTTTACATTCAATTCTTAGGTTATGAAAAATAGTTATGTTTCTTTTATTCCGATGTCAATTATAACTGTAAATAATCTGTACATCTGTGTGGGGGCAAATATAATTTTTTTTTATCTTCTTATATAACAACTTAATCATAAAATGACATTCTGGGGAATAACTAACTTCTGGATACCAATAATAATAATAATAAAAAAAAAAAAAATTAAATAATGAAAAAATAATAATAATTCACAGCACTTGGTCTTCTCAAAGACTTTAATATTCACTTCCAATGGAGTTATCTTTAGCCCTGTCCACAACAACAACAAAAAAACATCGGCTAGTCAGTCTTGAAGGCTTTGGACAACTTGAATATTGTGTATCTGGCAGTGGCATCCGCTCATTTGCCATGGACAGTGTCTAATGTTTTCATTCCACTCCCTCACAAACATATTAGCATTTGCAGTGTGTCCATTAACAAATACAGTTCTCACATGTGTCCACAGACAGTTTGCTTGCATGGACACTGTTTTCATATTTGATATAATGCAGACAACATGCTCCTATGGACAGTGTTTTCATATTTGATGTAATGCAGAACAGACAGCACATAAATGATAGCTATGTATTTCATCTCCCTGTATAATTTCATCAATTCTCCTGTCTAACACTGCATCTTGCCTATCCAGTAATTTAACTTTGTGTTGTACTATAATGTATTATGCAAGTTTCATTTTCTCCCCTTTCTTTTTTTGGTGTATACTGTACTAAAATGACAGGTGCACCACCTGTACCTGTAATGTTACATGAAAAGTAATACATTAAACAATAAAACATTTTTTTATTTGGATGTAAGAAAGGTAAAATATTTAAACTTGTCAATTATCAACAAAATGTTTAGCAACAAAAACATCAGTAAAAGTTTATATTTTCCAAAGAACCAAGACCTGTAGACTGGAGCTAACAAAATCCATGTATTTATGAAGAACAGCATTACACATGGAGTTAGAAAAAATGACTTACAGCTTTCCTGCTGTCAATTATACGAAACAAGAAACAGCTGCACAGTTATCTTCACTTTACTCTACAATAAGACATTAACTTAAAATCTTCTTCAGTACAACCAGTTACAATAAAAATTCCAAGCTGAAATATCTTGAACACAAGAATATTTGAAACTGTATACATAACCTGCTGCTTATGACAACTAAAATCACTACAATTTTTCTAAGCAAATTTTTATAGAAATATAATACATTTGAGCAAGGGATTGATAGACCATACTAATAAAAAAAAATCCATATTCAGTGACATCACCAAGATACGAATGGGAGTTATTTACACCTTTTTCTTCCTTAACTTCATTTTTTTCACTATCAAAGCAGGAACAAGACTTTGATAATAACTGCAATGCTAATGAAGATTCTCCCATAAGTATCTTAGGAAATGCCAGTGCTACATTCATGACTAGACAGGCAGTGAATTTTCTTGTGATGAAGCATTGACATCGTTAAATTTATATCAAATGACACTGAATTTTTGCTGTTAAGTACATTTAATACAAAATTTAAACCTCTTTGATAGCTCTGTTTCCAAGATATGTTAGTTACCTTTGTGTTCATCAAAATAATTAGAATTCTTGCTTATTTTTTATTATAATAGTTAAAAAAGAAAAAAAGAACAGAAAAAAATACATATATACATACATAATCTATATATATATACATATATATACATACACAACAAGACCTTATTCTCTGTGGGAGTCTTTTAGTGGTTAATAAACCCACAAATAATCTTAAATAGTTCTGAGAATAAAAAAGTTATTCCCAAAACTCCACCAGGGTAACTTTTTCTATAAAGTCTGAAACACAACAGCTAGTTGAGAGATTATCTTCAAAAATGAAATTCACCATAAACTTGAATGTGAAATTCCAATGCTTCCCTGTCCGTCTCCACTGCCGCACCACTGTCCACTCCTCTGCACCAGTCACAACACACTCCACCCTGATGTGGCTCATGCTACATTATTTTTTCCTTGAATCCTGTTTATGTTTGACAGAAATTTAATGGACAATGAAATTTCTGCAGAGATGGCATACAGTACCAGTGTCTCTAAAAAACAAAAAAGTGTACTGAAAAAGTCAGGGAAAATCTACAAGATGGACCTTGTTTGTTATAGTTTTTAGTATCAAATATAATCCGTGCTCCTTTATATCTGTGTAATGGTCTTATGAATATAGGTCTTATTGTATATAACTATTATAATCAAGTACATTATATATATATATATATATATATATATATATATATATATATATATATATATATATATATATATATATATATATATATATTGGCAATCATTTGGTATTTTTGTTTATCTTAAATGAACCAAATAATACTACAGAAAAACAAATTCATATCAAAGCCTGTGAATGTAGACTACTGAATATAACAGTTTGCGTAACGGCGATACTTTGTTTTCGTTGAGTTTCCTTTGAATTTCATATTAATATAATATGTAACTGCAGTTCTTTACACTGCTAATTAATCCTGAGTAACAGTATGTTACTCCTCATCCCATGTACTAAAGAACAAATTCTGGTGCTTCTTAAACACAATTTCAACATCTCTTTTTCTAAATAACTTCACACATGGCATTCTGTAAAAAATAAATCTGTATTACCCAACTCAAAAAAGTGACTATACACTTCTAAACTTACAATGGCATCAAAACTGCATTATTCAGCTGCTCCCCAATTCAGACTTGCAGGCCTTTGCTGCGCAGGAAAGCATCATGTGTTGGATCACGACCTAAGAAATCCCTAAGTAAATCTGCAGCATCCTTTGATCCGCCAGGCTGAAGAATCTTTGTACGATAATCAGTTCCGACTGCAGGGGTCAAGATGCCTTCTTTCTTGAAGCGACTCTCGTACATGTCCATGGAGAATACTTCACTCCACTGTGGGTGCAAGAGTTTAATATTTAAGGAAATATCTAGATGAAAATGTCAATGATATATTCTATTTACACTTGTATTTTTCAATAAACTCTAATCCAATGCTGAAATAACAGTTGACGTAGCACTGTTTTAGGTTAACTAAATTTACACTGACGTCTCTTACCAGATAACCATAATACTGTGCATCATAACCACCAGCAAGATGACCAAAGTTGGCCGGCATGTTGGTGTTTGGAATGGGTTCGATGTCCATAATATCACGATACGTTTGAGCAAACAAGGACTTGGTGTCTGCTTCCCCTCTTGTATGGATTGTTTGATCGAAGGTTCCCAAAATGATCTGACGAAGGTTAAAGCCACCGGCGTTTGCCTTCCGTGACTTCTGCAGCCTTTCTACTATTTCATCGGGCAAGGTTTCACCAGTCTATCAAAAAAAATTGGAGACTATTTTTAAAATCATAATGACCAAATATATTTAAGAATATTGGAAATATATAGCATACAAAATTTAATGTCTTTCTTAAAAAACATGCAACAACAATTTAATACTACCTTGTAATGACCAGACATAAGGGCAAGAGGTTCCTTCTCCCAAACCCAGTTCTCCAACATCTGCGACGGTGCTTCCAGGAAGTCACGTTCCACACGAGTTCCAGCAAACATAGCAAATGTTGCACGGGAACAGATGTGGTGCATCACATGACCAAACTCATGGAAGTATGTCTCAACCTTTAAGAGAAAATATGTATGTGTCAAAATAAGAAAAGATCATAAAATGAGTCTCAGGAATAATTAATACCGAAAAATGTATCTGATTTAAGTAGAAAAGTTAACAAAAATGTCTATTTACAGTAATAAATAGGTTCCACCAGTGTACACAATCATATCAATTACATTCATATCTCAAACCATTATCCTTTTTCCTTTTTTTAAAACATTACATTCATAAATCATGATCTAAAATCTTATCTTTATAATCTCTGTAAGCATTTTCCCCGTCTTTATAAGCCCTTCAAGAAAAGATCAAAGAAAAATACACATAACACAGTAGTGTCCAACAATTTAATATCATTCAATCTCGTTTCTACTCCGATTCCTCACTAAACCAAAAATAAGTAACATTATAGTAGATACTAACCTCTGAATGGTCCAAGAGTGCTGGCTTGTCTTTGGTAGGCTTAGTAAAATTGCACATCATTGCACAGACAGCAACCTGGGGGGAGGATACACATAAGAGGTTAGTCATATATGCACATTAACAAAGTTTATAAATGATGAAACATTTTTCAAAGAAGAATGAGATTCTTTGACATAAGAACGCTTGGGCAGAGCTTTAAATCTACAGGAAGACATAATGAGATTAAGTGCCCACCTTCTTTGGAAACATTAAGCTCCTTATTTGAGATGGTAATAATAAACAATCAGTAAATATTTGGAAAAAGATTAAAGAAGAAAAGCTTGAGAGCAAGCAGGAAAGAAAATAGATTTAAAACATACAGCAAAAAATCCATGATTGAGAAAAATAATCGACCACCCTCTAATATATGTTTTATTAACACCAGAATATGTTTTTCTTATACTTCTCTATACAGAAGAAATGACATTGGGGTTATAAGAATAGACACTACATAGTCAAGTTATTCCTTTATCAATTGACACCCTTTTACTCAAGTGATACACCAGCTAACAGGGAAGCGTGTTGTTAGATAGATGATTGCCTTGCAAATAATACTGTAGATCATCAGAACAACATATTAGGGCCTATTAAATGTACTTTTTAAAACTTCATCATCTCTTTAATTTAATTCATCTAAAAGATAATCTTATCTTTTGATTTTCATACTCATATGTATTATATTACATATCTATATCTATATAGATACAGATATATATGTAGAAAAAGTTTATATTGTTTAGTGCCAAACTTTGGATTCCTAAATGGTGTAATAAAGATATAATTACATGTGTAAAAACATATTTGCCATTTTTAGTCATTCCACTTGTACATGCAAGTATTCAAGCTAAAAGCTTTCATAATGACATTTACAGTGATGATAATTAGAACATGTTCAAGGTGTGTTCGATATAATGAATATGAACGTACATAAGTATATGTACATGTAAATACTTGAAAAGAAAGAAAATCCACATATGAATGATGGTATGCATGAAACAGAAATATAATAACACAGCATTCTGTTTGTCCTACCATGACAGCAGACAGCATGGTGACCACTTTGTCATGTCACCCTGTGCTCTCCCTGCTCTCTCCAACCAATTGTTTGCCATGGACGTGTACTAAAATGAGCTAAGTTCAGTTACTGGTGTGTTTTGTTTGCAGTATGCATCTAAAATATCACTCAAAAACACAGGTTTTAGATAAAAGAAAAAGAAAATCTTATCCTTTCTTCAGGAAAAAATAATGAAACTACGAGGATGCAATTAGAATTTTATGCTTTTGAGTTTCATTATTTTTTCCTAAAAACATAAAAGATTATAAAAAAGACTGGGTGATATCTTTATCCTTTTTAACCCCTTGGATCTGGTTGCTTTTCTGCGCCACAAATGGCACAAAATATATTCATTAGGCTTGCTTGAGTTGCCACTCTGACGGGTGTGTGACTTATAGGCAAGGTGTAAAGGAACATTTATGGGTGGTGTTGAGACCTCCCCTTTGCAATGTGACTTATGGAAAGGAACATTTGTGTACCCCCCTTTGCAATGTTATCACCTCTTTCTCAATAAGCATTCTTTTCCTTTTTTGCCATTTTTCCACTTTCTATATTTGTTATTTGATAAGCTGTATCCAGATGTAACAGTTTTCCTTGCACAGACTCTGTATCATCTCTCTAGGTAGTCCATAATTCAGTGATATAATAACAATAAGTAACATTTTGTAATTTGTGTCATTTTAAATTTCTTTTTCTTTGTAATATTCAATTTTCTGTAATACAACCTCTGCCATCATTCACAGTGGTCAGGATCAAGAACCTGAGCGTGGAAATATTGTCCTCCTAGGAGCTAGTGCTCTTCCAGTCATGGTTCACGGATGATACATTCCATACCCGTTTACCACTGAGTCTGATCACCCTCCAAGAGCTTTGTCCACTCATTCCCATCGCCAGGACCTTCAGCCAAAATTCTAATGAAAGCATGTTACCATCAACCAGTCCTCAACTATATTTTTCCTTGATGTTATGTTCACATCACCCATCCCTCAAGCCAAATTTTTTTAATGACATTAGGGTTAGCCAACCAGATCGTAGGGGTTAAAAACGAAAAACCTACATAAGTTTGGCGTGATGTTTCCATGGTATTATTATGTTGTCTTTTGAAGTTTTGAACACTGTCTCAAAAAAGGAATTTATCCATCTAAGGTTATCATTTTATAAAACATAAAACCAGAGCAATATAGGCCAATTTGGTACTCTAACAGTCAATTCACTTATCAAAGAAATCAGTTTGCCAGGCATTCCTTTCCTTAGAGTTTTATTTACAAAAGTATATTAAATCTAGAGCTTTTAGCCAACTATCTCTATAGGATGATGCACGGCACATAACTTGAAGAACATAGTCAAAGCCACATTCAAAGGGAACACAATAACACCCAGGCTCAAGCCCAAAACTTGGCTGTCAAGTATGTGTAGTCCCCCTAGGTGCAATGAATTAAGAAGTCTAAAATTCAACAATGTTGTAACGAATAAATGAAAGGGATAATTTCATTTTGTGTGTGTAGTTAGCCCAAGACTTTGGAGAAACACAGCTCAAGAATCATAATCACCCTTAGCTCCTCTCTTAATTCAAGACACAATACCCAAGAGTATATGGCAGGAAAGGGAAGGAGGAAGGAAGGAAAAAGGAAGGAAAGAGAAAAAAAGGAAGAAAGGAGAAAAGAAAGGAAGGAAGAGAGAGTAGTAACAGCAAAAAAGAAAAGATGGAATGAAGCCCAAGGCCAAGAATTACAACAACTGGCAGTATCGAAAAAAAGACTGATCGTGACAGTACCTGACGGTCTCCTGTGGGCCCTTCACAGGATGGCTGAAGGGGGAAAATAGCAGCATGGCCAAACTTGCCATCTCGAGGATATAAATCTAGGAAAAAGTATCCCATTTTCTCTCCAGTTTCAGCATCATTCACACGATACTGAAAAAAAATTAATTAATTAATTAAAAATTAAATAATAATAATAAATAAATAAATAAATAAATTGGTTGCTGATATTATGGTGGTCTATATGATTTAAGATATTGTGTGTTATATCATAAAGCATAACAAAATATATCAACCTATCAACATTTTTATTTAACTTACCAGTTTCACGTCTTCATGCCACGTGTCTGCATCAACTTCTTGGGTGAATTTAAGGCCTAACAAAATTTGGTATATATCCAACAAGCCGGAGGTAACCTTGTCCAGGGGGAAATACTGACGCACCTGTTCAGAAAATAAAAGAAACGAAGGAAATGAGAATTATCCCGAGAGTAAAACGATACAAAGTGGTGAAGATATGCCTGAGTAGCTTGTTCAATATAATCATTATATATCTATAGGTCTACCATACACCCCATTATATATAGTACCAGAACAGGGGCTAATACTATAATGCTATAATTTAAGTAATGTAACATGAACAATGTCTCTATGAAATAAATGGAAAAAAAAAAAAAAAAAAAAAAAAATCATATCTGAAGAAAAATGAAACTTTCAACAATGAAATATGGCAACGGAAATATGTGTATGTACATATATGCATAGGTTTATGTATATACGTATTTAGTTCGAAACACAGACTTCACAAAAAAAGTACAAAAACAAACATGGTCGTACCTCATCTTGATCCACGGCAAACATTTTTTCCTCCACCTGATTCATGTAGTAACGGAAATCCCAGAAGTCTAGCTTGCCAGAGTATTCATAACTGTATTTTTCGCACTGGAAAGAAAATGCAAGTCAGTGAATGGCCTCCTTTACATATGAATTCCTCTTCTAAATGGAAACGATTATTCTAATTTCAAAAAGGTATTGCATCTGTCTTTTAAATTGATACAAATTATTCTTACCAATATCTAATTTCTCTTTCCTCCTTTTTTTGTATGTGTATGTTATGTGTAAATGTGCACATGAACAAGTGGTTTTAAATGCTTTCACGTGGTTGTGTAAACAATCATCCCCATGAAAATAAACAAAAGAGTAGGTCCAAGTAAATGAGTAAATGAGTGAGTAGTAGGTAGGTGGGGGGTGGTGGGTAGGTGGGTGAGTAGGTAGGTAGATAGGTAGGTAGATGGGTGTGAGTAAGAGTGGTTGATTGTGTGAGTGAGAGAAAATGAATGAGTATGAGGGAGTGAGTGTATGAGTAAGAAAATAATTGGAAAATGGGAAGGAGTGCGTATTGAGGAGCAACTCAAGGAACTGCTTGGACGGATGCAAGAATGTACGAATACACACATCAGAAGGACTAGAGAAAGAGTCCCATGCCTACCTCATCTTTCTTCAACTTCAGCATGTCCTGTCTCTCCTGCTTCCATAACGGCTGAAGCTTCTCAGACAGGCTGGAGAGGAACTCGGCAACATTCTCTGGGGTCTTGGCCATACGTTCCTCCAAGACATAAGCAGCGTGGTTCTTGTAGCCCAGTAAATCGGCCTCCTTCTGACGGAGGGTTATCAGTTCCTCCAGGATAGGTGTGTTCTCCTCCATACACCTGAAATTATTTCCATGTTACAGAAGTCCTACAGCATTTATTAACCCCTGGATCCGGTTGCAATGGTTACGTGAGTGGCCAGCATCCCATGTGTGCGGCGCATGGGCCGGGCATGCACAAACACCCATGAGCGGAGACAAGACTCTGTGCCTCCCCTTTGAGAAGTTATTTTGTGAAAACTTTTTCAGCTTTATCGCAATTTTCCAATGTCCATATTTGTCTTTTGATTTGCTTTATCCAGATGGTAATTACTTATTTTCCTTGCACAGACTCCACATCATCTCTCCATGTAGTAAATAGTTCAGTGCAAGAAGAAAAGAAAAAAAAAGAAAAAGAAAAAAAAAAAAAGAATGTAACATTTCGTTATTTGTGTCCAATGTCTAATTTTTTTGTAATTTTCAATTTTACGTAATACAACCTGTGCCACTGGTCGCAGCGGCCAGGAATACAGTGCGCAGCATGAAAATGGCATCCTCCCTGGAGCCTGCACTCTATCAGTCACTGCTTACACACTTTACATTCCGTATTCGTTTATCGATGGGAATAATGAGTCAAATCACATTCCAAGAGGTTTGTGCACTCCTGGCGAGTCTTTTTCATCACCCTGCTCTTCGCTCTTGACACTTTGTTTATGTCACCCATGTAGCCGCCAAAGTTTTCCCTTGACATGATCACAACGTCATCCGGATCCAGGGGGTTAATTATGCATGATTATTGGGTTATCTTTTATTATATTGGGTTTTTTTTTTTTTTTTTTTTTTTTTTTTTTTTTTTTTTTTTTTTTTTTTAAGGAAATACTACTATTGCATAAAGTCAAATTCATCAAATGTAACCTACATGTTTCTGATTAAGCTTCTGAAAAACTGAAATTTCAAATAATGGTCATCTGAAGAGCTTACAATTACAACCGAAAATGACTGTTGAAATCCTAAATAACAATTTTCCTTATGAAGAGTTATAAATAGGATTTCTCTATCTAAAATCAGAATGAAAATACGTTATCACATTTATGACACATGCCTTTCCATTTGTGAAGAACACACACACACACACATGCACGCATCTATATATGAACTCAGCAACAGATCTTACAAGTGCCTTCCAATTCAAACTCACTTGGACTGACTGGCAGTCACCATCTGGCGTCTAGTGTCCGGCACACGGCACTTTTTGGTGATGGGAAAGAGATGTGGGTACTTCATTGTTACTTCTAACTTATTGTCTTCTTTCTGTAAATCAATATTTATCAATACTTATTACATACTTTTCCACACATATGGCATCTCAATTTTACCTTTCTATGCGTATGGCTGGAAATCAAGAAGAATGTTAAATTTTAAATGTTGAAAAAAGGTTGATCCAGCATCATGCAGAAAAATGTACTGGGTTCCAACAGGCAAGCACTTTATTAAAATAGCGGAGTTAAACCTGTAAAAGTGTGTATATTAGTGTCCCCTACGGCTGCTATATTCTTTCATATATTACAGTAACAGAAAATATGCATAATAATGATACTAGAATAAAGTAAATATAAAACAAGCAAAATTACAGCCACATAGGCTATGTATATGCACTCTATATAGGGGAATACCTACAGCCTGTCTAATGTAAATGAGATAGAAAATACAAATAAAGCTTCTTCTGAACTCAATGCAATGGCTGCTCTATTTTATCCTGCTGGTCCACCACACTCACAGCTACAAATTTCCAGCAAACTTTAAACTTTCTTGTACCCTTCATACAACCCAAAAAAATATCAATCAAACTTTGAAATTAAGTGAAACAAAATGATGATAGTAATACAAAATATTCTCTTCTTTCTTGCAAATCTTTGAACACATAAGAAAACAAACCTCACAGTGATAACTGATTGTTTAAAAAGAAATGACAAAACTATTGCAATGAAATTCTTACAAAACATTTACAGCCCAAAGCACAAGCATCCTGTCGGCCAGTCCTCTGCCTTACCTGGGCAAGTTCATTAATAAAATCGTCGGGCATCCCTGCCAGCTCCTCTCGGGTGAAGAAGAGCTTGGTGTTGTCCTCGTTCAAGTTGCGCTGGAACTTGATGCTCAGCTCTGACATGCGCTTCTTGATGCTCTTCACCTGGTCCTGGATCTCGCTTGACAAGTGGAGACCTATGGGGGAAGGAATCTTTTGCAATTTTTCCTCATAGTTTGATAATCCTATCTGCTAAAATATACATAGGCACCAAGAAAGGTAAAGGGAAAGACATTGTGCAAGGCAGTAAAACCTAAAAAAGAAAGAAAAGAAAAGAAAAAAGATCAGGAATAAAGAAGAAAAAAGATGATGTGAAAGAAGAAAGAAGAAGAAGAAGAAGAAAGCTTATGAAAATACACAAAGTAATTATATTAGCATTTAATTTACTGCACATATAAAAATCGCAAATCAGCCTTTTTGCAATCATCATCTTACCATTGCGTCTTCCATGCAGAATGAGTTTGTCCACCAGCCTCTTCTGCTCACTGCTCAAGCCCTCAACACCAACATTTTCCTTAAATGCCACCACCCGGTCAAAAATGTCCTTTCTCATGCTGAAACAAGCAAAGTTATTTCATACTGAATCAAATAGCCTTGGGACTTAGAGAAACATCTTTCTGTAAGTGCAGTCGCAAAAAAATACCAATTTCTGAAATCATAGTGGTTGAGATAAAAGAAAAAGAAAAGGCCAGAGTTGCATCTTCTTTACTTCTTTTTACAATCAATATTTCAGCATCAGTTAATAAAGTTGCATTCCAGTGGGACAAGATATCAGTCTATGCTCTACCTGCAAATAGCCTCAATCTCGTGACAACCTCTAATAACACGAAAAAGTAATGTTCACTAATACATTGATGGTATAAAATGTTAGGGGAACTCAAATCATACATCACCAGGGACTTTAATCTAATATTTAACTAAAGTAATGACAAGAGCAGACTGAATAAGAGGGATCACACTCCAATTATATACTAAACCATATTTATATAATCATCATAACAATAAAATTAAGAGTTCAAATTCAATGCAGTTCTACACACAAAAATTAGTAACAGTATTTTCATACAGCACAAGTCATATAGAAAAAAAAAAAAAAAAACTTGTTTATCAGATTTTTACAATATCTGTCCACAGTGACACTATTATCCACACCAAATTAAGACTTTAACTAATGCTGCTGCTTAAAAAAAACACAAAGAAATCAAATTTACGTCATGCTTTTACACAATTCTCTCACCAATGTGGATGGTTGATACCTTGCAACTTCCCAGCAGCACACACACAATACACAACACAATATTACAAATCTTGGGTTATTGTGAATGGGGACCCTAGCTATGCATTTTTTTTTCTCCTTTACGAGGATTATAATAATGTTCTCCTTTCTCTTTTTTTTTAGTCTTTTGGATTTGAAGACTTATTTCAAACCTTGTGTTACAGGCTTTAGTTTGAGCTGAAGTTGCACGTAACAAATCTAAGCATTAAAAAAAAAAATAATAATAAAAATAAACAAATAAATGATACAAAAAGACAATCTAATAAATCAAGATGAGCAAGAAACAAAAAAAGGAAATACCTCATTTCAACATCAAACTCCTCAAGCTTCTGCTCAGCTTTGCTTGAAGCTTCACGGACAGCTTTATCAGTCGCAGCGTGTTGGGGAAAGTCAAGCGGAGACCCAAAGGTTGATCGTTCGTTCATCAGGTCTGCTAATTTCTGTCATTACAAAAACAATTGTCAAAATATTTTGGCAAACTGCAAGGCATACAGTTTGTCATTAAAACAGCAAACGTCAAAATATTTGACAAACAACTAGATGATTTATCTTTCTCTTCGGAGATATCTCGCCTGCTGCTTCAGATATGGCCAAACCTACAATTTTCTTACTAATAACCTTCTATGACTGAGCTTTGGTTGATCATTTATGTACTTCATATAAATTCTTAAGCAGAGTTTTAGATGCAAGTAGTACCAAGCTAAATCCGTGCTCTATTTAACCATGTCATCCAAATCTTCCGAGCTAAAATATAATAAATTACTTTCTTTCAACATATTGCAATCAATTTATCCCTTTACCTTAATGACATTGTCATAGCTAACAGTGTCCAATGGCAGTGAGCCAACAGCGTCATACGATGCGCGTTGTTGTGAGATGAGTGCATCTGTCTGTTTTTCGATGTCGTCTGGAGTGACACGCCGAAAATCGTACAACCCGTTGATTCCCTGAGGTGTTGGCATGATGGTGGTTACCTGTAGATGTAATGATCATTAAACTGGGGTTTCAACTAACTTTTTAATGAATGTAAAAAAAAAAAGAAAAAAAAAGAAAAAGAAAAAAAAGAAAAAAAAAGAAAAAAATAATAATAATATTAATGATAATGATAATAACAATAACAATAATAATATTATTACTGATAATAATATTAATAAGAATATCAATAATCATAATAACAATAATAAGAGTAATAATGATGATAATAACAATAACAACATTTACAAGAACAACAACAATAATAATAATAATGATAGCAATAATAATACCTAATAATAGTAATAATGATTATAATTCTTACTATTATCATTAGCATTATTGCAATTATCATCATAATTATTATAATAATCAAAATAATCATAATCATTATAATAATACTAATAATATTAATGATGATGATGATAGTAACAGTAATAGTAAAATTAACAATACCACTACTACTACTACTACTACTACTACTACTACTACTACTACTATAACTAATAACAACAATAATAATAGTAATAAAAGTAATAGTAGTTATAATAGTAATAGTAATAGTAATAGTAATAGTAATAGTAATATAATAATAATAATAATAATAATAATAATAATAATAATAACAATAACAATAATAATAATAATAATAATAATAATAATAATAATAATAATAATAATAATAATAATAATAATAATAACAATAACAATAACAATAATGATAACAACAAATAACATTAACAACAATAACAAAAATAACAATTATAATATTAATAATAATAAAAATAATATTAATAATAATATCAATAATAAATCATAACAATAATAATATGATTATTATTATATTTATCATTACCATAATCAATATTATTATTATTATTATTATTATTATTATTATTATTATTATTATTATCATTATTATTTTATCATTATTATTATTATTATTATCATCATTACTATCATTATTATCATTTCCATTACAGTTATTACTGTCATTAATATCATTAAAATTATCATTACTATTATTGCTGTTATAATAACTAGTAATAATATCCACAATAACAATAATAATGATGATAATCATAATAATGATAACAATAATAATAACAAAAATGATATCAATAACAATAATAATAATAATAATAATAATAAATAAAAAATAGAAACAAGAAAAAATTAAAATAACAGCAACAATAAAAAATAAAAATAATAACACAACAAAAAGAATCATAATAAAAAAATTACAACAAACAATAATAATAATAGCAACAATAACAAGAAGAAAAAAAAAATAGTATTAACAATAATATAGCATCAATCACAACAATATAATTCACAATAACAACAACTACAATAATAATAAAATAAAATAAAAATATATAATACCATAAAACAAAATATTAAATAAATTGATAACAACAACATTAATGAAAATAATAAAAATACTAAGAAAAACAACAATAACAATAAAAAATAACAATAATAATAATAATAATAATTAAAAAAAAAAATAATGACAACAAAAGCAAAAACAATAAAAATAATAATAATGACAACAAGCAAAAACAATAATAATAATTTAAACGCTAACAATAATAATAATAATATCAATAACATTGATAACGACAATGAAAATGACAATGATAATGATGATAATGATGATAGTAATACTGATAACGATAATAATAATAATAATAATAATAATAATAATAATAATAATAATAATAATAATAATAATAATAATAATAATATAATAATAATAATAATAATAATAACAATAATATAATAAATAATTATGGTAATAATTATATATAATAATTATAATAATATAATAATAATAGATAGAAGAAGAATAAAAATAATGGTAGTAATAACTACAACAACAATAACAATAAAAACAATAGTTATGAAGTTTAATCTGTATATATTTTTGATCAACCATTTTACATACATATATCTAAAGGAAGATTAAACTTACATGACCTGTCCAATGTCTTTTTGATGACTGTTAAATATGTATATCTTACTAACCAAACTATTTTAAGATTTTTACATCTAATAGACCTCACTTCATTTTCATTTATCAAAATGTTCTCCATCCTTTTCACAGAAAATGGGTCTGCTAATTACCCATAGAAAACAGAATGAAAGGGTAACTTTTTTAAAAAGCCCATAACTTTCAACAAATGAGTAAGATAATACATTATACACCTGATTTGACATAAAATGCAGAAACTATATGATTTCTCAGATTAATTAAAACTATATCATTTCTTGGATAAATAAATAAACAAATAAATAAATGTAAACAGATGAGATCACGTAGGGCTAGTCATTAACTCCTTCCTAACTAAGCTCTTGTCGAGCCATCAATGCATTGAAAAAATAATAATAATAAATAAAAATAAATAACAAAAATATATAAATTCTAAGTGGATAGGTCCTTCAACAATAGGCTAATCCTAAACTTTTCTCAGTGATAGCACCCTAAACTCCTAGTTATTTCTGTGGCATCCTTTTCTTTACCCTCCCCCCCATTCCCAAATCTCATAAATTCATATCCTTGTCCAAGATAATACTTCAGATAGAAAACACCAGACTAAGTCCTCTGCTGACATGAATCTATAGAGGGAAGAAAGGGAAAGTAAAAATTTTCTCATATAAAATTACTATTTCCTAACTATGCTGATTAATGACAGTTTTTGAAAATGTAATAAATGATTACAGATTTTCAAAAATAAATGAATAATTCATGGATAAAATTAAACCCTTGTGTATGCCAAGTTTGATTATATCCAATTTCTTTGTTCCATTTTCATAGCTTCATTTTATTCTGTGGACTTTTTATCCCATATTTCCTTTTTTCCCCTCACACACTGTTGCGTGTAACCTGTAGCTACCCAGCCACTCAGCATTCTGAATAAAACATGGAATGATAATAATAATAAAAAAAAAAGAGCTTTAATTAGCCTTGCCATCTAACCAATGTACCTTATCTTTATTTCATCTAGTTTAACATGAAGCTGCTGGGGATGGTGTATACATACATACTATGCCCACTGAGTTTAATCTATGAATTGTTCTTACACATAGATGGCTCTAAAAGCACTAAGACACCAATGAGCCAATTGAAAGTATTACCTGTCTCACCTGTTTACCCTTTTCCTTGATTTTTAAAAATATTTCCTTGCATCTTATATTGCTATTAGTAATGTCAATAACACTATTATAATTATAATATAATAAAAATAGCAATAAAAAAAGAAAAAGAAAGAAAAAAAGCAATGGCCATATACATTGTACAGGGCAAACTAAGTTATCAGATGAACGAATTTTGCAGGTACAATTCTCTCTTTTAAGAAACAGTTCTTGCAAATTGAAAATGAAATAAATAAACAAATAAAAACTAGACACTCATTAAGAGCAAAACTTTGCCTGAATAGAGAAAAACTAATGTAATGGTCTTGAGAACAAGTGAAATACTATCAAGTATTTAATCAAGAAAGCCTTGTTTCACTGATGTAAAACATTTTGGTATCGAATGCAATTCACTGTAGTTTTAGTTCACAATAACCACCAATATCAATAAAACTTGGACAGCACTGAGTATATTGGATTGGTTCCTTTTCTGTAGAAACGGATTGTTGTCCTTTGACAGAACACCAGCAGGCACACAGGTTTCAGGGCTGTTTTGGGACTACAGAATTTTTCATGATCAAGCTACAGCTGTCTGTAGAGACAACCTTATAGACACAAACTGCATTGTCTGACCCATATATATCACAAGGTATCTGATACCAAAATTATTAATATCAGTATCATGGAGCTATACTGAATAGGTTTATCTTTACTGGATAGACACATTAAGCAAGGACATATTGAAGATGATATCTTTCTATAGGAAAAAAGTTGCAGTCGATAGTACAAGAAATAATCTGCAGACGTGAACAGTAATCCCACAATATTGGTCTAGGAAATCCCCGCTCACTCCCTGAGTTCACTCAGTACTCCCGAGTTTCAGCTCTAGGTAGTTTTTCAGATAAGTGGCTCGTAACAGATTGCTATAATTTCAGTATTCCTCTCAATTTCTGGTATCCAAATATATAGAATTTATTGCGTGGAAACCCTCTAAACCACCATATTCTCCTTTCACAGCAAGAGAGAGTGTCAGACAGATTGGTACCGATCTTACATCTCTCTCTGCCATGAATAAGTGGAGGATTCTGTTTCCACTGCGGTGGCTGGAATGCAAAGGGTGTATTGGGCTGTGCTCCCTGCATTAGACAATATAGGGATCGATTCTCTGTACGTCTTTCTTATTTTACCTGACAATTTCCCTGATACTGTTAGTACCCCCCCTGGTATTTGGGCCAAGACTATTCCTAATGGGGGTGTTTCTGCACAATAATTTCTATATATTTGTAATCTAGAGAGTGAGAGAAATCCATCGATACCAAAATCATCCATTACGAGCCAATACTCTGAAAAATTACCAGCTCTTTTCTCCAGCTGAGGAGATGATAATGATAGCCAGAGGATATTGGTGGGCTGAGCCCCCTATTGCAAAGTACAGAATCTGCAGCTTTTATACTGCCCTATTAAACTGTCGATGGGTATGTCAATGGATATGTCATCAAAGAAATGTTTAAGAAATCATAAATCAACTGATTCCATCTACCGTTTATCTCGCGCAGTAATATGACCATAAAAGAAAATGCTAATATGATTATACCATGGCCTCTAGAACTTTGCACGGAACAATGTAAGAGAACAACATTAGCAATATTTCTACTTTAGGCCTATGTCACTCCCACACATACGGCAGGACTCCCTACATTCATTTCAGCGAACTAATTAAATTTTGAGCAACATTTTAACACCATATCCTGTAATCCTCTTCTTGAAACCCATCTACCTTTTCAAATACAACAAAACTAAATAAACATGATTAAAAAATCGGTATCATATTGAATACCGTAAGCCGAAGCAGTAAAAAAAAAAATTGACTTACTGATATCTGTCTTCTAAAAACTGTCAAAGGTGTTCTAGTGAAGGAAAATTGTCTGGTCTTCGGTAGAACAGATGTACACCGTCTGATCGTCCCCGAGAAGACAGATATTCGACTAAAGGCACTGAATAAAACGACAGTCATCAAAGAGGTGTTGCTGAAGCAGACGCTGGCAAGGGAAACAGAAACTCGCCGCGTTCGGTTGCGATCGCGGTGGCTTCGACTCTAAATTGTCCTTTTATTTTTACTCGTATGAGGTTTTACACACTTAGATATTCTTTTTTGATATCAATAATCTGTCGACATAATTTTAGACATGTATCTAGACTTGCAGGATGTAGAGAATACAGTTTGCAAGGCGACGTCGATTAAGAATCAAAAGATACGGATACATTATTACTACAAAGACAAGTGACTTGAGAGATGCGCAAGAGAGTGCTTGTCATCACACGCGCTATATTCTTATACGTGCGAATTAAGAATTGTTGCTATACTTTAATGGTTATTTGGAAGAGTAAAATTCTTAAACAATCTAAAGCATGTTTAGAATGTATATTTGTTATTAAATAATAGGAGGATATTGATAATAGCTGAATCACCATGAATGACTTCATTCATAAAGTTATTCCAACTCATGTTTCCAGTACCATGTTCATTTTATAATCTTACAAGTTCTTTTTGCTACGATTGCGATGACAAATATTCTGATCGATTAATCTCAAATCATTGTTTTTCTTTATTTCACTAACTTGTTCAAGAGTCCGTTTTTGCAGTGCATAATATATGAAATTTTATGCAATAGCTGATATCATTGCACATTCTTAGTATTTTACAAATGCTAGGGAGAGAGAGAGAGAGAGAGAGAGAGAGAGAGAGAGAGAGAGAGAGAGAGAGAGAGAGAGAAGAGAGAGAGAGAGAGAGAGAGAGAGAGAGAGAGAGAGAGAAATTGTTATCTAATAACTTTATGACTGAGAGAGAGAGAGAGAGAGAGAGAGAGAGAGAGAGAGAGAGAGAGAGAGAGAGAGAGAGAGAGAGAGAGAGAGAGAGAGAGAGAGAGAGAGAGAAGAGAGAGAAAGAGAGAGAGAGAGAGAGAGAGAGAGAGAGAGAGAGAGAGAGAGAGAGAGAGAGAGAGAGAGAGAGAGAGAGAGAGAGAGAGAGAGAGAGAGAGAGAGAGAGAGATAGAGAGACTAAAAAATTCGCATTAAAAAACTCGATAAGACGAGCAAGAAAAACTAACGTGAAAATGAGACAGATAAGACATAAATAGCTAATATGGCGTGTTTTGTTGTGTCTTTCAATAAGAAAAAAATCGACTGTTGTTTTGTCATACTTGCATCCAGATATTTAAAACCAAGCGCGTTCAAAGGTGTTTTTTCAGACTATACTATGACCAACTGACCGAAAATGCGTTTATTAAGTGTTTAGTTGGTTACAATTGGCTTAAATTTCGTTTACCAAATGATTCGTTAGTTCAAACTTTCATCTATAATAAAAAAAAAACACCGAAATGTTCTTTACTAGTGTGTGAGAGTGCATAAACATGAACATATCGATGTTTATAATATAGATGAAAGTTTAAACCAACAAAACAACATAATGAACGAATCTTTTGAGGCAATCAGTATACCACTAGCCACGTGGATGGAAAACATTTTTTTTTTTTTTTTCTGCAATTTCGCGGTGAAGATAAGTGTTATCAGCGATGACAAGGTATAAGAATAGAAATGAATACGCCACTTAATATCTAGACCATTTTTTTCATTCAGGTTAATATTAAAGTTGTACGTGTACATATATAATATTGATGGTGCGTATGGATTATTTTTTCAAAGAAGCAGTTACGAGAGCATTGAGATTAGATTATATATGATAGAAGTCAGATAAGCAACTGGTTAAAGAAAAAAAAAGGGAGACTGGGGGATAGAAAGAGAAAGAGGAGGAGAGAGAGAAGAGAAAGAGAAAGAGAGAGGAGAGAGAGAGAGAGAGAGAGAGAGAGAGAGAGAGAGAGAGAGAGAGAGAGAGAGAGAGAGAGAAGAGAGAGAGAGAGAGAGAGAGAGAGAGAGAGAGAGAGTGAAAGGCCATCAACTGACATCCTCACCATAATAATTTATCCCGATCTAAATAACTATCTTCTTCAGACTTTTAAGCTCAAATCATTATTTACCTTATTTATACCACTTCATCCCTGCAACCAATTTATGAAATATTTGATAACATCACATACCCAAGATTGTGCTAGCTATACGGGTATGTTCATCACCATTGTTGTTCAGATGAAGAAAAACATATAATAGAAATAGAAATATAATATAAACCAGATATCATATGTTTTATTTATATAATAGAAACCAGATATCATATGTTTTATTTGAGTATAGTATTCTGTTTTGTGGAATATATCTATAAAAGGGGCTAGCTCCATTTTTTTCTAAGTTTCTGTTTTTTCACGATTTTAAGAAAAAGTGTGAAAAAATGTATAATGTAGTTTATTCTTTCCATGAGATAATATGGATATTCTTTTCCTTTTTTTCTCACTAGTTTCAATGTCAGTTTAAGATCCTATATATTTTTTTTTCTTATAGAATTGGTGGTTTGTCTTGTGTTGTGGTAATTGTAATCATGTTTATAATCATATCATTATAAATAACATCTAGAACAACGAATGTAATTGTTACTACCAAACTAATGATAATATTACTTATTAGTACTTCTAAGTCACTGTACTTATGATTTACCTAATGAAGCAACCAGTATTTTAGTAACGATAATCGTTGCTATTGTTATTCTTACATTTCTATTCATATCTTTATTAGTTATGATCATATTAGCTATCATAATTATCCGTTCCAGCATGAATAGCACTCTAATGTCACCTTTATTGTAAAAATGATTTGTCTGGTATAGTTAACAAACATTTATTTTTTTTCCGTGAGCATCTAATTCATACTAGATCATCTATATATCTTTTAGCTTCGTTTAGTAATTCCATGATTCGCTAGGAACCGTTGCGTCATATCTCCAGTATCAACAGTTTTATTAACGCCAATATTTATTCCGTATTTGCTTTGTAACTTCATCCCTCGCGGTAAATGGTGGTGCGTGAAGCTTGGCGTTTATCTCCCGTAGAGTTTTGCGCGTCGATTGCCATATTTGTACCTCGTATCATTGACATTCTAACGTTGCTTAGTAAACAGTGCCAGGTCAGTGCTGATCTATATTTTCTTGGCTGTGAGTCTAAAGTGTTTTACAGTCAAACACTGTTCGACTTCTATTAAAAGTTTGTTTATTATTTTGGCGAATTGTGTCATAAACAGTTTTTTATATATCTGGCCAGATCTTCAAAAATATCCATTGCACTTCTAGCTATATAAAGTAGAGAATCCACTGATAACACACGAGTTTCTTATTACTTACGACTTATTCGCATTGTTGTGTTTTCTGACTAAACAATCTTACGATCTCAAGGGCTCGTGGTACATTTTAGACACAAAAAAAGCCAAGAAATAGTACATGCACATACAGTTTATGAGGGCTTTCCGTGAAGGCCGTTTCACCAGCAGACGATTGCGCTGAGTTTAGCCAAGAGCTTTGGCCTGCTTGGGTGCCAACCGCCTGCATGCTCTTGCCATCAACAAACGCTACAGAACAACAAGGAAAAAAAGCCCCTTATATCTTGTATCAAGTGTTACACCTCTCTGAATGCGAGGGTATGGCGATGATGAGAATGTCACGGGTGTATGGCATTTGTACAGTTGTGTAGGATTCCTTTGTGCTTGGATTCTGTAGCAGCTGCGTTCGATTAGCTTCTTGCCGTAGTACATGTTCGCTTATATAACGCACGTGTCCTTGCTCGTTCGTTCGTTCTCAGCCAATTATAGTACTTAAAATATAATGCTTCTTTAGTGTGATATGAGGTGCAACATTTGCAAGGTTAATGCAGCAATATACTGCAAGTAATATATCAAACAGGAATGTGGCCATGCAATTATCATACCAGAACGACTATGCATGGTACTCATAATTGCATTTATAATGATTACCAATCTCTGCTTCTTAATCAGATCATATTAATCTGTGGTGCTTAATTGGGCCAACCTTTGCGTCGGTCTCTTTCTTAATGAGGTTTGGTTCCAATTATACAACAGGTTTAAGTTTTGTAAAAAGAATTTAATGATATAAATAACATTCTCTTACACAATATTTGGACATGTAGAAACATACAAAACGTAAAAATATACATCATACATCTATGTAATCTATACATTTAGGACAGTAAATTGAAGGAAACTGACTGAAATAGGAAACAATATGTAAACTTTAACATTTTCAAGACTTCATGAAAAAATAGACTAGAAACCAAATAAACAGTTAAGGAAAAAAATTCCTTCACAAAGCCTATAAATATTTAAGTTTCAAACAATATAAGGAATGGACTATGAATGCAAAAAAGCAAACGTTTTTTCCAGCCTGTCAGCAATGTCCCTCCCCGTGTTCTAAGGAGAATATTTACAAGAACAATGGAACAGTTGAAAAAAATGAATAAACACAGGCAAGAACACCACTGGGAGGCTAGGCTTTTATAAGTATGACTTGAGACTAGCAGTGGTTGGCGACTAGCTCCGGCTAGTCATAATAGGAAAGAGAGGTAGAGAAGAATCCGCCTTTGGAAATGTTTGTTTGACTAGTTATAAACAAGCATGGAATATATCGTAAAACTATACAAGCTGATCTATATTATGACACTAATAAATAACAATCTCTTTCTCTCTGAGTATAAGGTAGGCTCAGTACCTTTGGTATTCTAGTTCAGTTTCACCAGTATGAGCGAAGAACCTTTGGCTTGATTCACAGCACCATAGACGGGTAGCGGGGGTTGGCGCCCAACCTCTCTCGCGTAACAACCTCAGCTCCTCAAGACCTATATATACTTGAGGTCTCACGGCGGAGACCCCGCAGCAACACAGCAGAGGTTTTTGGAGGCGGGGCAGCCAACCCAGCACACTCGGAACAACCTTGGCCTTCGGCGGCCAGACACTCGACCTCCCCCTCGCCGTCGCCGCCTACAGCAGCAGGCCCTGCGCCACGCCGATGTACGGGTACGGGTGGAAGAAGTTGAAGAGGATGGCGAACATCGTGCACGCCGCGTACACCCCGAGGGCCACCCACCACAGGAGCTGCTCGTGGAGGCGCTGCTCGAAGT